TATTAAGAATTATTTTTTTACTTTTTAGTTCGATTCAATATTAAAGAGTGTTTTTTAGTATTTTTTTGAACTATAATTTATTTTTCAATTTTAGTTCGATCTACATAAATGAAAAATACATAATAAAAACCTGTTTTTTTTTTTAGTTTTTAAAACTATCATTTATTCTTTGTTGAATTTTTATCCTTGAGTTTTATATTTGGAGCCGAAATTATGTGGTTGCTGCAATTAGTCTTGCTATTTAATGGATATTAATTAACGGGTCTGAAGGGTATTTATTCTCTCCTTTTACGAGGCCTCGAATGAGTCCCATACCGTTATATTTCAAAGATTTCGTCTATGTAGATACAGGTCTAACTTATAAAAGTATGCTAAGAAGAAATATTAAATGTCAATCGTATTATCACCTTTTAAACGTATTGCTATAATGTTAATTCGTATCATCACTTCTAAACATATTGCTTTATCAAAATACAAAAAATATTTAACTGTTAGAACAAAAATTATTTTTATTCACATGCATGAGTCTTTTTTCTGTATTTCCATTTTCAGAAAAGCTTAACTTATATTATGATAAGAAAGAACATACAGAACACTTTTTTGTTTTATTTATATTAACCATAAACGTATTTGTGGTTTAAGGGTTGCACCTTAATCTTTTAGACACTAAATCTAGAATTAGTTGCCAAATCTGGAAAAGGTTTATAGAATTTGTCGCCAAATCTCGAAATCCTGAAAATCATTATTTTTGCGGATCTTGATCAGGACAATAAAACAAAATTATGAAATTATTGTATTGTCATCGATCCTTGAAAAATGTGCAAAATTTCGAATTAATTTGAACTTTTATAGTAGTTAAAAGTCGAGTTCAAAGATTCCATTACATACAAGTGAAACTTATAAAAGCGTGTCAAAATAAAAAAAGTTCAGTTAATTGTATATTCTTCAAAGACTGCTAAGGTTTTATTGCCATTGAGATATGTTGTTTCAGCCATTAAAACTGTGATAAAGCATTACCAAGACCATTCATCTTAAAGAACACAGCATTCCGAATCATTTTTAGTTATTAATAATTAGAATATTGAAATATATTTTATGATTGTTTACAATATCAATCCTCATGAAGTTGGAATACGTCAATCTATTCGCAGTCTTTCCACTTAGTGATGAGATTCAAGTCTTAGCACACATTCCTAAATAGACTCTATTATATATGTTTAGTGTTATTTATTTTTTACCCTTCAAAAAAGTAATGCTGTTTGTTTTAAAAATTATGTGATCACTTATTGGACAAGGGATATAACGTTGGGGATAGTTGGGCAAATAAGAATTATCGCCAGTCATTGGGGATAAGTCATCAATGTTAGTTCGCTTATCGCTCAAAGCAATATTATTCATTGATTTTAAGAATAAGAATTTATTAACAATGTGTGTTCAGCTTAGAAGCTCATTCGTGAGATAGAACTAGCATGTATTCTTTTATTACTAGTTTGAGCATATTATGATTATTAGAAAATTTAGATTAACTAAGTTTTTATACAAATTATCACATCTACCGTATGTATTCGAATCTAAGCCATCACCAATTGTAAACCACACCTCAAATTCTCTTCAAGTGTTTGTGAAAAATGAAAAATAGGGGAAAATGGTTTATCAATATCCAATTTTAGAAATTAAAATAAAATTAGAATGAGAACTTATAAAAGAAGTGAAAAATTAGTTATTTAACCAGTATTATAAACTTTTAAATACATACACGAACTTACAGGGAGTGTTCTGAAAGTAGTAGGACTTATTTTTTTAAAAAAAAATTTATTCATGACAATAGAACAAATGATTAGAAATTTTCAAAGTAATACCCTTCCGCATCTATGCACTACTGCCAACGAGTTTTCCAGTTTTCGTACGCCTCTAGGAACATCTGGACCGGAATGCTGTTTAGCTCACACGTCATGGCCTGTTGAACCGCCTCTACCGATCCGTGATGTTTTCCCTTAAGCGTCATTTTTATTCTTGGAAACAGAAAAAAGTCTGACGGAGCCAAGTCAGGGCTGTAGGGGGATGATGCAGCATTGCCACATTGTTCTGGGCAAGATGCTCCACTAAGCGGAACGCACACTTTTCTTATATATGTGTGTGGCTAAGGATTTTGTTACTATCTCAAACACTTGGGTTTGAGGAATGCTCAGTTCATCAGCAATCATTCTGATACTCATCCTACGATTACTGTTCTGTAAATTTTTCACTGGCGACACGTTTTGGTTGGTCTTGCTGGTTGAAGGACGTCCGGAGCGATCGCCGTCTTCCGCTTTTTCCCTACCTTCTCGGAACAGCTTGTGCCACTCAAAAACACCCGATCTACCCATGGCAGCATCACCGTAGGCCTCTTTAATCATGTTGGGAGTCTCTTTGCCCGTTTTACCAAGCTTTACAAAAAATTTGATGGCGTATCGCTGCTCCAGAAAACCGCTCCATGATTCTTCGCGACGAGGTGTTTCGACAGGGGTTCACAGTGCAAACGATCTGCTCTCTTCAACGGCCGAAAGCCGACTGTCGACTTTTTCCAGCATTCCTAAAATACCCCTCCACCAATCACTCATCTACCCGTTCTCTCAGGAAAATTTGAGTCCTACTACTTTCAGAATAGACCCTGTATAATTGCTCTAATTGTCCCATCCAACTATTTTTTTTTCTTCGATTCTAAGCCACACCCTATTTTCAGTAGCATTAACATTGAAAAAAAAAGTGCTGCTTAGATTCGAGTAAATGTGGTATATGTTGCTCATGCAAAAGTATACAAAATTTTAGGAAAAATTCCGCATAAGCAAAATAACAAAAACAACCACGGAACATGTGCGTTAATTAATATTTTAAGAAACCGTTGAAGTTAATCAACTTTGTATTAGTTTGTGGTGGGCTGAATAGGCTCCTTAGCCGTAACTAGCCAATCACGCTCTACGAGAACATATCGAGACAATATCTAGTGGGTGGTAATTCGTTCATCACTGTGATAACAGATCGGCTTGAGCAGGTCGGTACATTTCAAACTTAAGAGCTATTTTCCTCCCTTTTAGGTTATAGTTTGTCATTTTTCTCACCAAATTTTCTAAAAGAAAAGAACCCAGTAGGATTACAGATTTTTCAACAGTCAACCCATAACAGAGTGTTCTCCATTTCTTCCTCTGATGAAAAGACTTTGTTCATTGGAAAGTTAGCAGTGAGGCTTTTTCCGTAGTGGTCAGTATATAATATAAATTTAGTGAAAAAGTTTTTGCTACCAAGCATCATATAAGCTAGATAAGTTTTCCTTGCTTCTGTGTAAACTTCTAAGGTCAAAAGGAATTGAAGGAAGTTTTCAGAATTACACTTCCATTTAATCCAGCGTTCTTCAAACTGTGGGGCATGCCACCTAGGGGGTGTGTGATAATCCTACCAGGAAAGCGTGAGTATATCCCAAAGTCGAAAATAAAATATTAAAAAAAATTAATTTACAGAGAGAAATCAAAACAGTATACAATATGATATAATAAAAAATACACATTTACAATGATATAATATACTTATAATTGTATCAGTAGTGCACAGTGTATTTGATAATTAATTTAACAATAATAAATTAAGAACAAGTTTAATAATTACTGGTAATCCTGTGGGATTGTACAAATTTATACGTAAAATTTAATACTTATCTTTATAATAATTAGTTTATACGCAAGTCGTATACGTCCGTCGTTATACGTAAAGTCGTATACGTAAAACCGTTAACCTACTTTGTCTCTTAGTGACGAAGTATGCTATTATCGAATTCAATACATTATTATTATATGGAGGAGAGCGCCATGAAAATTATGATAGAAAACTGGGTCACAAACATTGGGAATTTGAGAATCACTGATTTAATCTAAATGTTTTGTCACAAAAGATATTTTTAGTTTTAACAAAAATGCTTACAAGAAAAATAAAGCTCTCTGAAATAAGATTAAATATTAATTTTATGATAAGTATTAAAGACGCACGAAAAAAACCCTTTTAAAATTAATTTTACGTGGCCTTTTCCTATTTGGAAACCTTTTATTCAGAGTTTCGTGGAAGATAACTTTTTTGCCGATCAAATTATGGGAATTATTTTTGAAACTATAAGCCTTATTTTCAAATATTTTTTTCCCTCGATTGAAAATGAATTAAGACGTATGAAGAAATTTTTGATTTACAACTTACTTTCTTGAAAGATTTAAATTTCTTGTTTGTATAAATCATGTTAACTTTATACCGTTAAAAATAACAAAAAGAAATTTATAGTCATTTCTGGAAGAAATAAATTTTTAATATTATTATTTAATCATTTATAAAATGTAAGTTAACTGTAGCTAATTATTTCTTAGAATTATCATAAAATTATTTTATACGTTTTTTTCTAGTGCTACTTACTCTAAACGGACCGCAAAATTTGGAAAGGAAATACCAAATTCCTGGGAATGTTTCTGCGGGTGAACACATAGCAATATTTGTCCCAGATCCACGAGAATCTTCTCCAGCGAATTTAAGGGTATATGTGAATTGCACTCTGCAACAAACTATTGAACTACCGAAATCCATGTTTGATATGCTGAAACAAAATACCGAAGTTCAAGTGGTAAGATATAAATATTTCTACATTCATCAAATATATAGTAATGTTTTTCAAATACTTCAATAAACACAAATAATATTTAAAAAAAATTAAGTAAATTCCTACTTAGATCAACAAATTTTTTTCTATTTTACTTACTTCTTATTAAATAGTTACAATTTTTTTCAATATGTATACACATATGGCAGATTCACAATATTCAGAGGCAAAATAGAAAGCGATTTTTCTTGCATTTTTTCATTTTCCTTTCTATATAGGATAATGGACTATTTTTTGTTTGTTTTTTACTATTTATTCATTAATTAAATTTAATTATTCTAATAAAATAATATAGTAAAAAAAAAAGAAATTACATACTCAGAAATTAGTCTATCCCAGGTGGAATTCAAAATCACGACCTCTGCATTAGAAGTCCAACGCGCTATCCATTGCGCTACAGGGAC